CGGTTACGCAGGGTTACGCGTCTTTGCCCTGTTTTTACCCATTTTTCACCCAATTGTCCATTCCTCCGTGCATTTTACATTCCCATGGCACGCGACACTGAGAGTGCATGCTTCATACAGAGCGCACGTATGCTTTATGTGGAGGGCGACTCAACATTTGTGGGTTATGAAATTGGTTGCGAACCTGCACTATCTGTCCGAAATCATGCGGAGTTCCAACTCGGCGAGCTCGGAGCAATATCCGGTTTTCTTCTTTTCCCGACTCACCGTCATAGAGACTAGAACTCCTACTTTATCGCGTGCAGCGTCCCCCCTGATACGTGATGGAATAACCTACGGGAGTGTCTAGGGAAGACTAGTTCCTTCCGGCGGCCCATTTTGACCTGATTGAATCACTTTCGCCTTCCATCTTCCAATGCAACGCAAAGGAGCATCCGAGCAAAAGATTTAGCCATGCCAAATCTTATCAAAGTAATTTAAATACACCAATAATTGCTGATCGGAGTCCCTATGGCGTCTGCACTGGGCTACATGTATTTCAGTCGACGGACATTAGACTAGTCCCCTTATTCCCTATATGGGTTGTCTGGCAAATTATTTGTTTGGCTGTTTATTTGGTCGGCGAAGCTGAGCTTGCGCGATCAGCGAAGCCACGTGTGCTTACCTGGTGCAAGCCTAGAGGGTTATGGCTCATCACCAACTTTGCATCCCCCTCTTTCGATCTCCATGTCGTCGTATACAACCGGTGTTGGTCCTGTAGATGCCAATGGCACAGTACTCTTCTTTACCGACAGCGGACCAGTCGCGGGGTCTACAGACTACACCACTGTTGTCATCTTCCACGGAAGTGCCTTCACGGGCCGTAAGTTTTCCTTCTGATGCTCGATGTCGCGTATATCTCATTTCCTCGTCTATCTAGATACCTTCCACAAGCTCCTCCCGATGGCAGCGGAAAATAATCTGCGTCTCGTCATCCTGAATAGGCGTGACTATGCCGGCTCAACGAAGTATACTGACGAGGAACTCGCAGAGCTAAGAGACGGGAAGACAGAATTTTTACAGCGCCTGGGATATGAATCGGCGAACTTCCTGGCTTGGTTTATCAAGACCAACGATATTCCCAAGACCGGCGCCGACGGCAAGTCTGGAGGATTGGCTACCATTGGATGGAGTCTTGGGACTACGACGTATAGTCGCCGCTTCTAAGTTTACCGTGATATTGATACTGACTCCGTCTTCAGTCCCCTCGCCATTCTTTCCCACCCGGAAGTTATACCCACAGAGACCTACGACGCGTTGGAGCCTTACTTCCGACAGATGATCCTCTACGGCTAGTTCTTCCCTTTTATCTGGACTTTCAGTTTTCTCATTTTTCGTCAGACCCGCCTCATCTCGCTTTCGGATACGATCAACCATCAGATAGATATAACCCGTTCACTGATCCCGCGCTCAAGACGCCTGAAGCGATGTTTGCTAACTTTGGATACTGGGTCAGCACGTACTATGACCATCCGGATCTTGCGTCGCGTTCCCCGAACGGGCTTGACTTCAGCAAACGTGGTACACGTCCGTCAATCGAGAACATGACGCCAGATGACATGAAGGTTACCTTTGACGGCGAGGCAGCTGGAAGGATGGAATTTCCCATGTACGTCTTCTTCGTCTCCCCGACCATTGATTGACTCATTAGTGTCTGCCAAATCAGGTATTTCCCTCCGATGCAACCTACCATCAGGCAGCAGACCGAGACCGCGCTATACGACGAAGAGGCGATCAAGAAGATTCTGCCAAAGCTGGAAATTGTACATCAGTTTTGTACTGCGACGAACTGGTACTGCGTGTGGGGATTTTTTGGGAACGAGCGCTTCGCTCCCAAGCGGCCTATCCGCTTTATCGAGATCCCAGGAGCAAACCATTTCGTACGTCGAACTTGTTCGTTATTCAGGTCCGGATTGATTTACATTCACGTCTCTAGGTCCACTGGGATGATCCCAAAGCGTATATGGAGGCAACGGTGAAAGGCCTTACGACATGATAGTCATTATGGTCCCTCAGTAAACAACTTTTATAGATATCGATACCCTCAGCACTCGTCGGTGCCGAATCGAATAGTGTACCATTCCGTGATGTCCTTTAAATGCCACGTATAAATACCAGCTCATGTGAAACGTTCGGCCCATGGGGAACAGATAGAAAAACAAGCTGTCCTTCTCCCGCTCTCGCGTCTGCAACATGCTGATCCCAGTCGGGTTTTCCCTTATACACCGATGCCGAAAACACGCTGAACGTCCTAGGCACAACAAGATAGTTGACAACGACTACAAGGGGGAGATTATCGGCCGGATGTGATTGTCTATACTCTTTCTTCAGAGTTTTGATATGATTAGGGTTCCTCTTCATATCGCACTTTACAAGGTACGAAAGAAAAGCGCCATCTCGTGGGTTCATATGCGGCGGATGTCCCTCTATTGAGCGAAAGAACATGAGTACTGTGTTTATCCTGAAGAAGATCTTACTTTTCCGATTCTTCGTTATGTGAGCACAAATCTCTCGATGCCCTCTATTCCACGCCTCCTTCTGGCATTTTCTAGAGCAGTAAGATGCATAGCAGCATCCTACGCACTTCTTGAGCGGAGGAATTATGGCTTCAGGAGTTACTTGCGGAGGCAAAGGACACTGGCAATTGCTCTCAGACGGACCAGCTCAAACATGTCATGAAAGTAACGTACCTCCGCATTCATGCACTCCGCTTTGTCCCTCCAAAGATAATTCTTTCTCATTTCCATACGAGTGCCTACAGCCTTCTTCAATCTTGCCCACGCTTTCCAGAGCTTGGGCGCGTCCTTCTCAATACCCTTTTCCAGCGAAAATGGGTGCCACTCCACCTCGCGTATGGCTCTAGTGGCCTGCCGTAGAACAGCCCGAATAACAGAATGGCAGTTGACCTCATTCAAAAGATGTACCAGCACATCATTGAGCGTGTTACCCGTCGTGCGATCAGGCGTATGCCCTCCTCCCGCGAGCATAAAGTACGGTTGGCATTTCATGATGGATAAGAGCAGATGGGCCTGAAGAGCCTCTCCTACCCATGTGAACTGATCCTCAAACGCCCCGGAGAGATAGGACGCACAAAGCGAGATAATGCCTTTTGACGTCTCAAAGTCATCCATCGTCATCGAAAGCACGAGCTTTCGGGAGGATAGACGCCGTAACAGTTGACAAGTCCACCTGACACCGTCCGCAGCCAGGAAGGCCCGCTTGACAGGTGGTGAATTGGCGGAAAAATTGAACATGGTCATCATGCAGCGTTTGAGCACGTAATAATCTGGCTCTCGGGAATGTATCTGGAGGATGAGTCGGACGAGGCAGGGAAAGGCCACGCTGATGGATGTCGTATGGAGAACTTGGGTAAAATCATCAAGCCAGGGTTCGTTGGTGTCGAAGGTCATATTCTGGATGGCGCGTCCCGTAGCTTGAGCCACGTTAAGGTCGTTTGCAGAAGTGAGGATCCAAACCTCAGTGATAACGCGCATGAAATTGGGAAAGCGTCCCAATATATGAACGAATGACGGTATCTCAGAGAGATCGGCAACGAGCCTCATCATGTTGAACGTGAGCTCATCCTCACCCGAGTCAAACTCGGGCAGCGCATCCGCTTTGTCGAGAAGGTAGAATTTCATGAAGTACATGAACCACGAAAGGACATTCGGTAGGACCTCAGAGATCTGAGGGATGAGATCAGGCCTCAGCGGAGTTTTGTTTTTGATCTGGAACCCGAGCGCTATGGCTTTGAGGCAAGATCTGGCGACGATGATTGATTGATGAGGCTGATCTGGATCCAGCCACGAATTAGGAACACTGGTATTGCGAAGACGATGTCGAAAAACCGGGAGAAATTGAGGAAAGGTGTCTTCGTCGTCCTCGACAATGGAGACGAGACGTTCTAATGCTGGTAACGAGCCATCCTTGGCTATTTTCTAACAAAGAGCTTCGCGGATGAGAGCCTGACAGGTAAAGCTGGAAGAATACCAGCCTTGATGGTGGTGTACGCCATCCCAACCTTCAGGGGCTCGTAGTTTAGTAAAGGCTAGGAGCGAGAAATCTTCAATGTGGTGTACGGGTAAAAAATATCATTACGTAAGTTACATTCGGCCTTCGGGAAACGAACAGCGGTACCGTGAAATGCAAATGATGGCGAACTTTCTGAATGGAAACACGGTCATCCTACTACTGCAAACTTCTGACGTAGACTTTGGTGCACTCTAGGTCGGAGGCTTGTCGTCGTTGTCTCAGACGGTGACTCGGAATCTCAAATAGGCAGGTAAGCCAGCCAACTGGGCACTTGGCACAGTGGTAGCGCGCACGCTTCGCATGCGTGAGGTCGTGGGTTCAAATCCCACAGTGTCCATTCAAGAGTTAGTGCAATTTTGCCATCGTTGAACTGGTAAATAGAGTTTTGTTATGTTCGAAGTCCAGGTCCGGGGTAGGGTAGCGTACGAAACCTCCAGGCAGGTAAGTAACCGTTTGATACTGACTAGGGTAGCGCACGAAATCTAGGTTTCGTTACACTTGGATTTATTACCGGTAAGTTACCTCCCCTCGCTGGAGGGGTTTTCCGTCAAGGTAACTTACACATCATGTGACTGCCTGATAAGTATGAAAATTCAATACAATTACATGTATATTCTGCATACGTGGTGAAGGAGTGAATATACAATATGTTCAGATGACTTAGAGCATCCTCGACAAAGAAACGGTCCTAAAACACGAACACGGACGTCCTGAAAAAAAAATTTGCAGTGGCCGCGCGTCCGTCATGTGATTGCGCACGTGATAGGTAAGTAACGGTAAATTACCGTATCAAAACACCCCCCTTGGGAAGGGGTCGGTAAAAAAACGGTAAGTTACCCACCTTGGAGGTTTCGTGCGCAACCCTAATACTGACCCCGCCCCAGGAGGGGTAGACAAAAGTGATGAGGATAGCTGACTACTCAGGCCATCGACACCAGCAGGATTTGAACCTGCGCACTCAGAGAGTAATAGATGAACACGCATTCGAATCTATCGCCGTAACCACTTGGCTATAGCGCCCTAAGACTGGCCACTATCCTCTAAGCTCCCGATGCAAATAAGGCTAAACAAAACAACGACTTCTTATCCACTCACCCCCAATCAGCTTAAGGGTAGCTATAGTTTATAACGTTCGGTCACCCTTATGGTCGCAATAAAGGAGAATCTCTCGACCGACTAGGCTGGTTTGTTTGCGACATCGTTCGCGGATATCAGCCATTTACTTTACTGTTGAAATTGCCACCGGTTCCTACGAAAGGAACTTCGCTACTTCACGTTTCATCTATAGGTTTTACTACTGGTTCTTCACACGATGCACCTCTGGCCCGATTACTAGTGGCTGCAAACGGAGTAATATCGCAACAAGTGGAACTATGGACCCTGAGGCTTGATCAGCCGGTCCCCGGAGTTCACATCGAATCATCATTCGTACGCGCTAAGCGGGAAATCAAAGAGCTACTACATGTACTATTTCCATGTTCTTCATTCCAAACCAGGAACCAACAAACCTAGATCGACCAACGCGCCATCGCTATTCAAGGCGGCCTCTATAAATGCGACATCCTTCAGAGCTCCTACCGGACTGCCAAATGGCTCGACGCCTTCTTTGCCGTCTGCCGCGTCGAAGAAGCTACCCAACTCAACCTGGACGCCTATCATTCTCTCTTCGACAATTGTCTCTTTCTTCTCCGTCGTGAGAACGGCCTTCACGAACCCTCCTTCTATAGAAATCGCCGCATATCCTTCTGTCCCTGTAACGACACATGCATCTTTCGCCGAGACTGGTTTCGACGTTGTTGGAAACGCAAAAGTCATCTCGATGGTGCCATTGTAATGTTCTGAGGCCTTCGCAATGGTGTGGATGGTGTCATGAGGGGCGAGATAGTCCTTGTTTAGCGAGGCAAAGCTCGAAAGGTGTGTAATGGGCTGAGGAAGCAGAACCCGCAATACGGCGATCGTATGCTACAAGGTGGAGTGTGAGTATCCACCTTCTCGAAGATAGTAAGTTGATATGCTCACAACTCCGCCATCCAACTGATCAACGGGGATATTAGAACTTGCAGAGCCACTGAGGAACAGCACGCACCAGAAAGCCTCCTTGATACTACGAGTCAATCGGTGCGTAAGAAGGCAGGTAAGCAATGGAAGGAAAGAAGACCGGCGTACCTCAGGCACAGTCCTCCACGGCGTCTTGTACCATTTGGAGTCCTTGTCCACATAATTCAAAACGCAGGCTTTGAACCCTATGACTTTACCAATCGCTCCACCGCTAATCAGTCTCCCCACCTCCTGGAACCCCGGTTCCACTTCGTAATTCTCCGCGACCCGCCACACAAGTCCCTTCCCCTGAAACTCGGACCGATATTGTTTGATCAGAGCAATCCCACTGGCGACGTCAGGGGCAACTGGTTTCTCGCTCAAGACGTGCTTGCCTGCTTTCAGTGCCTTGAGGATTATCGATGGCTGCAGGGGGATGGGAAGGACAAGAAGAACTGATGATATGTCCTGTCGTGCCAGAATGGCGTCTACGCCTCCACCGTTTTCGCCATCGTGGTAGACATCCGGCGCAGGGATGCTCAAGGCTTTAACAGCAGCAGTCGAAAGACTCTCTGCGCTCTTGAAAGAGCGTGAGTATACAGCTCTGAGTGGGGGCGCAGCCTTTCCTAGAGCTGCGATGGCCGGTATGTACGCTACATGCGGGGAAAGGTGAATTATCGGATGTGATATTGTAAGCGATCTCCCAGATCTTAAATTGTATGAACTTACCTTCAGTTGCGAAGATACCGGCACCGAGGATCGCAAAGCCTTGTCTCGCAGGTTGGGTCATTGTTGAGAGGTCAATCTCTGAATTCAGGTTCTTGTAAGCCTGGCGCTTGAGAAAATCTGGAGCAAAGCTGGACAGAGCTGGAGAACCCAATCACGTGCTCGCCGATATTTCTCCGTTAGATTAACACGCCCCCTGCATCCTCTTTCTTCATCTGGTTGGTACCAAGAAGACGAGATGGAAAAGAAGCGTACCAGGGGTGAACCTCAATAAGATATGTATGCGAGCCAACGGTCTTTCCCCGAGCATCCGGCAAATCTCCTATGCCTTTTGGCAACGCAATCGCAGCGTCATATTCTCCTACGGAGTATTCTCGGAGGGCGTGTCAATACTCTTTCTCTGATATCGGTAATTGATGTAGGTGGACATGATATAAAGGACAGCGCCATCGCGTTTCGAAAATGGTCCTCTCACAATGACAACTCCTTCTACCGAAAACAAGCTTCCCAAAGATTTTCTGTGGGGTTTCGCAACAGGTATGTTCACAGTCCTTACCAATGTGTACGTTACAAATTACCTTTGCGATAGCGTCGTTCCAGATCGAAGGCTCTACGTCGGTTGATGGGCGCGGTCCTTCCATTTGGGACGACTTTGCCAAGACTCCAGGCAAGACGCTTGACGGACGCGATGGTGAGGTTGCCACGGATTCGTACCGTCTGTGGAAAGAGGACGTCGCACTGCTTGTCAAGTATGGCGTGAAATCATATCGTTTCTCTATCTCCTGGAGTCGAGTGATTCCTTTAGGCGGCAGGGATGATCCGATTAATAAGAAAGGCATCGAGTTTTACAACAATTTGATTAATGAGTTGTTAAAGAATGGAATTGTTCCGTTCGTCGTACGTGATATTTTAGGTTTCGTTAAGGAATGGTGCACTAACGGTTATTTTCTAGACGCTATATCATTGGGATCTCCCGCAAGGTTTACACGACCGCTACGGCGGGTGGCTCAACAAGGCTGAGATTACGAAGGACTATACGCGATATGCAAGAGTGTGCTTTGAGGCATTTGGTGATCGCGTGAAACACTGGTGCGCAGCTTTCTAATATTCCGGTGTCTACTCAGAATGATCGCTGCAGGCTCACTGTGAACGAGCCCTGGTGTATCTCTATTTTAGGATATGGCCGAGGTGTCTTCGCTCCTGGAAGATCCAGTGATCGTGCACGCTCCGCCGAAGGTGATTCTAGCAGCGAGCCATGGATGTAGGTCTTCTATACGTATCAGTTTAACTTTCGTTTGAAAACCTGTTCAGTGTCGGTCATAACGTTCTACTCTCCCATGCTTCCGCTGTAAGGCTCTATCGGGAAGAGTTCAAACCGAATCAAGGCGGTCAAATTGGGTTAACTCTCAATGGCGACTGGCAGATGCCTTGGGATGACAGCCCCGAAAGTGAGCCTTGTTCTAGTACAAGGGTGTATACTTATCATTTTTTCTTTCGCCCAGACGTGGCAGCAGCTCAGCATGCCCTCGACACCGCCATAGGATGGTTCGCTGATCCAATTTATCTGGGCCATTACCCACCGTACTTGCGGCAGATGCTTGGAGATCGTCTCCCAGAGTTTACGGACGAAGAGATCCGTCTAGTACAGGGGTCGTCGGATTTCTATGGGATGAATACATATACAACAAATTTGTGCCGTAAGTCTGCTCTCTTTTCTCATTTTGGCGGCGAAGAACTGACTGATATCAGGGGCGAGCGGGGACGACGAGTTTCAGGGACTGGTCGATTATACTTTCACGAGACCTGATGGGTCTCAGCTGGGAACACAAGCGCATTGTGCATGGTTACAGGATTGTAGGCATCGTCTTCTTGTCATCAATATCTATCAATGATTCCAACATTTTCAGACCCGCAAGGATTCCGAGCTGTGAGTCTTCATTCAGTTGCATATGAATGAATGGCATCTCATGACCATCAAGTTACTCAATTATCTATGGAACGTACGTACTTATTCAAATAATGCTCCCGGCCTGTGTACTAAAGATCCGTCAAGCGGTACCACATGCCCATATAGTACGGTTTCTCTCTTTCTTTTTGTCAATCTCTTCATTTCTGTTCACATGTCGTAGTGTCACAGAAAATGGCTTCGCCGTCAAAGACGAGGATGCTATGCCTCTGGAGCAAGCGTTGCTTGACCACGACCGGGTACAGTACTTCCGCGGAACAACTTCGGCCCTTCTGGCTGCCATTCATGAGGATGGCGTAGACATACGAGCATATTTCCCTTGGAGTAAGTCCTATCTAAGCCTTGCATTACGCCTCTGATCGCATTCCACGATAAGGTTTTCTGGACAATTTCGAATGGGCCGATGGGTATCTCACTCGCTTTGGCGTCACTTATGTGGACTACAACACGCAACAAAGGTTCCCAAAGGAATCTGCGAAGGAGCTGGTCAAGGTGCGATATCTCTTAAGAGCCAGATTTCATTCTGACGACTTGCTGCAAGTGGTTCAAAGAACATTCGTCAGACGAGGACACTTTAACGTCCAAAGCTGGCAGTGTCAAGTCGAACGTTAAGGCTACCAGTCTCAACGATACGGCGAGTCCTGACACGGTATCGATGCCGAAGTCACTGATGAGCAAGATTAAGGCGCATGTCGCACGATGGGTAAATGCTATTTTGCGCTTAGTTCAGGTGAATCGCCGATGAAGTTCTTTGCCCTTTCCTTTCTTGTGACTTGTAGATGTACTCTTACTTTTACCCTTGAATTTTGATACCGGCATTGTGCAACCTGGAGAGCTCGAGTTATTCTTCATACATTGTGGATGTCCATCAATCTAACATTATGGCACAATATACCTTATACGCGGAAGTGATGGTGGTGGGGCACCTGGCACAGTTGGTAGCGCGCACGCTTCGCACCATCATTGCGTGAGGTCGTGGGTTCAATTCCCACAGTGTCCACATAGGCTATGCCAGTATGGTTCCTTTTTTAATGTTGAGAACACCTGTTACAGTAGTATCCTAAATATTAACTGACAGTACTTACTACTGACATGAGCGCATCATTGATCAAGCTTGGGCGTTAAGAATCGCGCATGTTAAATTTGAATAAGCTCTCATAACGAGTACTTTCCTGGTTTCCAGGCAGCTGCAGCCTGCCGCAGAAGGGTGGTAGTGGTCACGTGCGTATGTTCATGACGCATTGACAGTGTGACCTTATCACTGAGTTCAAGTTAAAGTTATCACTGACTC